GCTCCTCGGGCCGCCCCGGAAGCCCGTCCGCGTCACTTCCGCTACCGGCGGCGCGGAGTCCACGCCTCGCTCCTGCGTCCGATCCCGGGGGAGCGCGGTCGGTGCTGGCGCGGACGACCCCGGGGTCAGGCCAGAGACAGCCCTTCGGGGCGAACTCCGCGTCCCCGCGCGGGCTGCTGGCCGTCTTATCTGAGGCTGCTGCGGACCGCGCGGGGCCAGGAGCGGGCCGTTGGGACCACCCTCCGGCCTAAGCCCCCTCGCCACGCTCGCCTGGGCGGCCTTACTGGCCTTGGGCGAGGGGCCACCGGAATTGGCTATCTCCAACCCGTAGAGTTGCTTTAAGGATTATTGTCTTTTGAGGGAGGGGTATGTACAGTGTAGTTTGGACACAGGATTAAAGGAACAGAACATTGCTGGGCGTGGTGGCGCGTGCCTGTAACCGCTCGTTCCAGCCAAGTGTGGCCAATTTACCGAGACCCTGCCTCAAATTTTTTAAAAAGGCTGGGAAAGTAACTTAGTGCCAAAGTCCTGCGTTCTAATTCTAGTACTGGAAAAGAAAAAGAAGCAAGACATTACACAAACATTATGAGGTGGTTTCCGTGCTTAAAACTTTAATAACGCCTTGTCACGCTGAAAAATCCACTTTTCTAGGGTTAAGGCGCCCAGCTTAAAGGGACTCCTGCTTGCTGCTCGTCCACAGGACCATGGCACACCTAAACTGGTCGCCTTCCAGTTCCCCCACCGCGCCGCCAAGCGCTTCTCTTTGTGGACTCGGCTGTTTTTGGATCCTTGGCCAGGAATCCTCTCCCCTCTCTCCCCTCAAAATGCCAGGCGCTTCTTTTTCTACCTTCCTGTAAGCCACGTTAGAGCAGCCTTTCCTGTGCCACCAGTCTGGTAGGACACCTTTGTTATGCTAGTAGTTCCTTGGTAATGCTTCTTGAAGTCTATAGTTTGTTGACTGCTTACTTCACTGTTTGTCCATCTTCCCACCAGAATGTAAGTTTTATTAATAAATTTTTTTTTTTTTTGGTCCTGGGAATTGAACTCAGGACCTTGCGCTTGCCAGGCAGGCAAGCTATATCCCCAGTAGAGCCTTAAAGATATTCAGGGCCTTAGTGATACCTGATACTACTTTATGCAGACAGAACAGTGATTCATGATTTTTCCCAGTGCCCCTGGGCGTTTACGATGTCTACAAAATAATGTTTACAACATTTTATAAATCAAAATACATTTTTTAAAGCAAAAGGAAAAATATCCTGTTTTCAATTTCCCCCTACTCATTGTGGGATTTTAGATTAGTCACTTGATGTCTTTCACCTTCAGTTTCCTTATCTGAAAAATCCAAGAACAACTTGTACCTTACAGAGTTACAGACCCATACTCCTAAGTTTCTGGTGTTAGGTTAAGAAATTTTGCTGGGTGTGGTGGTGCACATCTGTAATCTCAGCCCTTGAGATGCTGAGACAGGATTGCCATAAGTTTGAGGACAGCCTGGGATACATAGTGAGTTCAAGGCCAACCTGAATTACAGAGCAAGACCTTGTCTCAGAAAGAAACAAGAGAAAAAGAAAGAAAGAAAGAAAGAAAGAAGAAAAGAAAAGAAGAGAGAGAGGAAAGAGAGGAAGGAAGGAAAGAAAGAAGGGAGGGAGGGAGGAAGGAAGGGAAAGGAAAAGGGAAAAGGGAAAGAGAAGAGAAAAAAGAAAACAAAAAGGGGTCTGGGATGTAGTTCAGCAGCACAGCACCTGCTGGACAAGCACAAGGCCCAGAGTTCAATTCAAGGTAGCAAAAAGAAAACAAAAAAAAGTTTGCCATGGGATGCACACCTGTAATTATAGCACTCAAGAGGCTAAGGCAGGAGGACTATGAGTTTGAAGATAGCCTGGGCTACCCAGTGAGTTCAAGGCCAGCCTGGTCTATCTAGTGAGACCCTGTCTCAAACAAACAAAAACACTTCACTATCAAAGGATAGTATCCAGCATTTTTTGCAAGGCAGAAAGGAGGCTACTTTGTACTGTGACAAATGCAATATAAAACGTATGTGCCTGGCATGGTGACCCACGCCTGTAATCCCAGCACTCAGGAGGCTGAGGCAGGAGGATCCCTGTGAGTTCAAGGCCAGCCTGAACTGCATTGTGAAACCTTGTCTCAGTTACAGCCGATAATAAAAAAAACTTCAGTTCTCTTAACTGGGGTAAGTTAGGAGTAAACAACATCTCTGGTATTGAAGAGGTGACTATGTTTACAAACAGAGGAACAGTGATACATGTCAACAAAAAAGTTCAGGCATCTCTGGTAGTGTACACTTTCACCATTATAGGCCATGTTGAGATAAAACAGCTGACAGAAATGCTACCTAGCAACTTAAACCAGCTTGGTAGACAGTGACGAGTTTAAGGAGATTGGCTGAAGTTTTGCCTAAACCGTCTGTGGAGAGAATAGCACCACTTGCTACTGGAGAGCAGGATGATGATGAGGTTCCAGATCTTTGGAGAATTTTGATAAGGCTTCTAAGAATGAAGCAAACTGAATTGAGTGAACTTTTAAAGAAGATAAAACCTGGAAGAAATTACTAGGGGCTGCTATTTTATATTATTGCTGCTTTTAAAGATTGTTTTTAAATACCTCTACTATATTTGTACATCTCTAAGATTTTTAAGCCCAAGCCCTTTGGACACTGCAGCTCTTCTCAGTTTTTGCTTATATACAATACAGTCTTTGCAGGCAGTTAAGCTGAGGAAGCCTGAGAATAAAGTTTGAAGTAAAGATTGATAAAATTCTTTGCCTAGTTAAAAGAAATGAGTACCTATGTACTTTGGGGTTGCTGGATGCTTACTCAATAGCCCTATGCCTTTCATTTTTGCTAGTAGACATGATTAGCAAGACTAGTTCACTCTAATCCCCATGATTCAAAGGGTATCTGTTTGACAGAGACAGAATAGGAGATGAACCATTTCTAGCTAGAAAACATGAGAGCAAGATCTGCTAGGGGTTCCAAGGAAAGATTTCCTTAGTTAGAATGAAACAATAGGAAAATTAGTCCTACTTCTGGTACACTGTTTTCCCAGCATTTTTTTCCTGGAATTATAGTGGCCTATTGGGACCATTAGGTGAACTAGTATGAGGATAAACAGAAAAAAAGATTGCAACCTGGTTCTTTGGTGTTACCATTTAGCCACTTAATTAACCAACCTTAAGATCCACATCAAATCAGAACTTCCTATAATATGAAATGCAAAATTTCCTTATGTAAGCCAATTTAATTATAATTTTGTAATATACAATTGAAGGTTAACTGATACTATATATATAATATATGTATATAATATATTATATAATATGTATAATATATATAGTTGTTTTTAAGATAGGGTCTCACTAGGTAGTTCAGGATGGACTGAAACTCATGGTGATCCTCTTGCCTCAGCCTTCCTAGTGCTAGGGTCACAGGCATGTGCCACCATACCCAGCCCTACATGATTACTATGAATATGCACTTATACAAGACACAGTGTATATCCAAATACTTCAAGTACTCAAGCCCCTCCTTTTGCAGCTCATTCTTATTAGTAGACCAGAAACTTTTCTCAAAAACTTGGCTGGAAGCTTCTACTGCCTCTTTTAAAAGTAAAACTTCCCTCCCTTTGAAAGATGGGGAAGAGGACCTAAGGGACCCCAAGAAGGTCCTTCAATGTTACTCTATCCCCAAGAGTTTGCCCAGAAGACAGTGGGGAAGGCACTGTAGCCCACAGCAAGAGAACAGTATGTTCTTGCAGGGTAAGCCATAAAGGCCTTAACCAACCATGCTATGGTGTCCTAGGGAAGGAAGTCATAGTGTATAAGTGGAAAATTTCTCAATGTACCTCATTCCTCAGCAACTCTACTTTTTCAGCTCCTGCTTTGAAAGATTGCTTCTGTCATGCTCTGTGTATATTTTCTAAGCCTGCCAGTTTTCCTCAGCCTATAGCCAGAGGAATAAACAGAAAGTTAGAAACAAAGAGAGCTAATTTTCCAACTCAACATTACTTTCTTTTCAGACCTTACAGACAACAGCCTGGGGAGGGCCCAGGTTCAGAACTTTAAGCTAGTCTTCTTGCACTATGACCCTTTCCTTTAGCCACCAAGCCCTAATTACCATGTGATTCTGGGATCCTCTCAGCCAAGAGATACTCAACAGTACCCAGCCTCACTCTGCCCCAAGGCTCTTGCTTGACAAGAATGTGCTCCAGCATATTTTGCCAATTAACAGAGCAGTGATGGCTGTTCAAACAATGCTGAAGTGATGGCTGAGGTGATGGACGAGGCTTCACTTAGAACCCCGGGTTCCACGATTAGACAGTACAGGTCCTGGGCACCCAGGCTCTTTGAGAAGCAACCAACAATAAAACCTTGAAGCCCTTTCAAAAATCACTCTTCTAAAACTAAAGCATATAGCAAAATTTTGCCATAATCATCCTCCCACTCACCCTCTCCCACCACTCCCACCCCAGTAATTGAACCCATGGCCTTGTGCATACTAGGGGAGCATTCTACCACTGAGCTACATCTCCAACCCTGGAAAATTCTTTTTCCTTCACTTATCATGAATTTATTTTGTCTCATTTCAACTGGGAAAAATCTGCTCCATGCTCCAATTTGCTCTTCAAGTTCAACCAACCTAACTTTTATTGCTGAAAAGGAACATGGGTCTTGTTGGCTCTTTTCCAAGGGAATCTGGCAGGTGGTAGCCACGGGTTAGCTCTGCAATTTGAAAAGTCACTTGGCCTCTGGAGGAATGCTAGGCCCATTATATACACACTGGCTGCCAGTGATGACTTCTCACTGGGCCCTCTGCCAGAATCCTCTGAATCATCTTCTCCCAGTGTACAGAGAAAACAATGCTCTAGCAATACCA